GATGCAGTATGTAAGTTTAACACCCAGTGGTTGAACTAGGTATTGCATTCTTAGGTCAAAACAAACGCAAGTGCAGGTTGCCAGATTGAGGACCAGCAAGGCTGATTTAACTCGTGTTCTAAATAAAACAATGGCACACGATAGAAGGAATATTTTCCCTATTAAAAGGAGTTTTTAGTCTAACCAACACGTTGTATTGATATATTAGAAACGGCTTCTATTTCTATTTCTCACAGGTGAATAACAGGATAAATGACAATAGTCACCTCAGGTACACCTCCTGTGCTTTATTCAGTGTTAAATGCTAACAGTGTGAGCGTGAATGCCATTTTACATGACATTTATTGCCATACTACTGAAAGCAGCAGCAGATAGCTCACCTCAGATCTTGAAAATAAAATAAACCATTTGAAATTAAACTTTAGAACTGACTTAAGCCAAGTTAACAAATATCAATCATTCAGCATGTACATTTAATAATATTAAGGAGGTTTTTTATTTATTAATTAGATCATAAACCTTACCATTTCATGAGTAAGTGCATATTCAGTGCTTCTGAATGGCTGTATTTACATTTCTGTTGTTTCATCTGGTGTAAACAGCCAAATTGCTTATCACTGCAAATCTCGTCACGTAGCGTGTTGTAAGGACACAGGATTACAATATAACCTGCTCACCTAATGTTTACGCTCGTAATATTTATATTATAAGCTAATAAATAACCTCATGTGGAACTCTGAATCTGTGTCTCATTTCGGAGTCTGCTACTGTCTATGTAGGTCGCATTTCGGTCATGGACGCATGTTTTGAGAGCCTTCCTGACTCAATGAATGAAATATGCAATTTTTTTACAAAAGCAACCTGGTGTGCTAAATATAATTGGCTAAACTGGCATTTGGCGGGTTAAAATAACATAAAGACAGTGTTCCGGCACGGAAACTACATTTTCAAAGCAGAATATCTGACTTCAGCATTGTTTTTCAGAAAAAACAAGAATGTTCACTTAGCATGTTTTTTAAATATCTGCAAACATATTATGGTATTTTTATGCTTTAAAAGAGTCAAAAACTTACATACAGCACCTTTAATTAAAGTACTAATATTAGTGATGATATAGTTACAAAATGAAACACCACAGCAGTTTCTGATATTCTTTTTTTGTTTTCCAGATGTGTCCATATTTTGTATTGTTGCAAACAACCTGCACATAAAATATTACAACTCAAAACTGACAACACAACATTTTGTTCCCTTCCTAATTTAGAAACAAGCCCCATGACTCCCCGGGTCTTTTTTGGGTGTCATATTTTATTTACCGAAACGTGAAAATGTTCTAACAGGCCTGTCACATACAAATCAGCGTGGCACAATTTCATTTTAATTGACTGTTATCATGTTGTCTACGCCGTATACCAGAAGGCAGGTAACAGAAATAGCTATGCAAATATAACAAACATTATATCTCAGAAGAATGCAAAACAACGCCATGTTTACTTTGCTGTAAGATGAACAGCTGTCTAGCAAAAGCTACCAAGTGCCTCAGTGGTTTCAACATCTTCATTTCCTCCGACAAAAACTTCAAATCAGATTTTTCCAAGTAAATTCAGCACGGTCCTACACAATGTCCAGGTTATGCAATATTTGGTTTATTTCCTGACCTCCGCTACTGTATCCCAGCCTATCCCCTTGTGTGGATCCATGTGAGGGATTAAGGATTAGGGCCAGGAGCCGGAGCTGGAGCTGGATTACACAGCTAACCGTTCAGGCTCTCTTTTTTCCTGATAAAGATGCTGTCACTCTCATCACTCTCTTCCTCGCTGATGCCATCAGTCTTGAAGACTGCGCTGAGAAACATCTACCATCTGTTGAATTATTTTCACTTCAGCATTATATTTCTGATCCTGCAATTATGTGAGACATCAGATAAATTATTCAGAGTCTAAAACAAAGAGATATTTCTGCTGCTATTCTAGCAAGCAATAAGCATTTAGATCTTTGAAATGTAGGATACCTTTTTGCGAATAAGAAATAATTGTATTTTATGAATAAAATAATGACACAAATAATGTTTTAGATTATGTAATGTATACAATATCTACCACAAAGTTGCTTGGTGTTTTTGTTCCACGTTTTGCTTGATAAATAAATTGTCTAAATAAAAATAAACATAACTACAAACATGTCATTTAGTACATTTAGAATATAATGTAGATATTTACATTAAGTGTGTGTGTGTTCATGAAAGTGCATATTTACAACCCTGTCAATTAATATTTTCATTCTTACTAGAAAATTTTGCATTAATTTTTAATTGTATTCCTATCCAGGTTAACTAAAACTAAAACATGTTAAGGTAAACAAGATGCAAAATGTTACAAAATATTTCTTACATTAAAAAAGCCTCAGATATTAAACAAGTAACGGGAAGTAAACAACTTGTAACACACAACAATTCTAGACAAAAGGCCCAATAACACAGAGGAACTTGAATTAATTGAATTCAACTTTACAGTTGCGTTTCTTATATCCTGTAAGTGTGTTCACACTTGACAGGTTTGTTTTGATTAAATGAACTCTATTCGTCTGTTTATATCTAAAAGGGATCCCTTACTCCAACCTAACTGTCTACTTAGAATCTAATGAGAATTATTTGGCATGTAGATGCAATGTAACTTAAATTCAATAAACAGACCATCAAAATAAAGTGTGACTAAACGAACCAAAAACAGGATATAATGTTACAATTATAATGTAATGTTGTGACCATAAAAAGTATTTTCTAATGATAGTAAAGATGTTACTCGACACAGCCTTTAGAAACATGCCTCCCTGCATTATTGTTTGGATGATAGAAGAATTTTGCTGCTGTTTTATCTATTTATAAGCTGTTCTTCAAGTGTTCTCAACTGATTAAAAACCATCTCTATTGACCTTATTCTAAAATGCGGAAGTGCGCCTGTTTTCGCGATTGTCTTAGAACTTCCGATTCAGTCGCCTATGGGAGAAATGACTAGGAATAATAAACGGCAGAAAATGGCCAAACTACTTGCTCAACAAACAAATGTTTGCATGACTACACAGACCAAGTAGCATAATATAATAAGAAAATATTAAATTGCAACATCAAGCAGCGTAACGAGCAGTTTATAACGTCAAAAAATGAATAGAAGTGAATGTGACCGGAAGTCGCGAGACAAAAAGATTCAAATGGCAGTGCCCGCTCGACAGCTGAGAATAAGGTGAATATCAGTGGTGCCCAAACTCGGCCCTGGAGGGCCGGTGTCCTGCAGAGTTTAACTCCAATTTGCTTCAACACACCTGCCCGGAAGTTTCTAGTTTATTTAGTAAGAGCCTGATTAGCTTGTTCAGGTGTGTTTAATTAGGGTTGGAGCTAAACTCTCCAGGACACCGACACTCCAGTACTGAGTTTTGTACCCCTGATTTATACAAATAACAGCAACACATCAGCCAAGCAATGCTTTGAATGTAAGTTTTGCTACATTAAATATCATATGCCGTTCAAGATGACATCATGCAATATATACACTACCTGACAAAAGTCTTGTCACCTATCCAAGCTTTAGGAACAACAAATAATAACTTGACTTCTTGTTGATCGTTTGGTGTAAGATATAGCTAATATGAAAGGCAAAGAGCTCTAGATTATGCTTATTTTACCAAAATAAAATGAGACCATGCCTTGATTTTTTTATTATTTAATTAGTACTGTAAGGTCTGACTTTACTTAAACAAAAGTATTGTCACTTAACAGAAGTAATGTACAGTATAGAATATAAAGTCATGGTGCAGTGGAAAGAGAATTAATATTGTGTTTGACTTCATGAGCTTGGACGACTGCATCCATACATCTCTGCAATGACTCAATGCCTCCTCCATCTTACCCCAGACATGCTCAATACTGTTCATGTCTAGTGACTAGGCTGGCCAATACTGGAGCACCTTGACTTTCTTTGCTTTCAGGAACTTTGATGTGGAGGCTAAAGTATGAGAAGGAGCACTAGCATGCTAAGAATTTGCCCTTTCCTGTGGTTTGTAATGTAACGGGCAGCACAAATGTCTTGATATCTCAGGCTGTTGAAGTTCCCATCCACTCTGCAAATCTCTCGCATGTCACCATACTGATAGCAACCCCAAACCATGATTTTTTTCTTCACCAAACTTGACTGATTTCTGTGAGAATCCTGGGTCCATGCGGGTTTCAATAGGTCTTCAGCAGTATTTGTGATGTTTGGGATGCAGTTCAACAGATGATTCATCAGAAAAATCTACATTCAGCCACTTTTATAAATGATCAACTAGAAGTCAAGGTATTATTTGTTGCTCTTAAAACTAGGATTGGCGGCAAGACATATCTCAGGTAGTGTACATCACTAAGTTCAAGTTGACCTCCTTAAAAACTCAAAAAAAGAAACAAATAAACTACTGCTTTTTGTTCAAAAAGACAAAAAAAAAGAGTCCAGTAATCACTGACTTTTACTCTTGAAGCACAAGCAGAATTAATTTCGGTGTAGAAAAGGATCACTAATTATTATACGAAGACTTATGAAGAAATGGATGCTTTCACAAAAAAAGCTTTAAATTCAATAAAATGTCTGCAAATCACTCTGACAGTAATATGTATGTTTTACTTACTTATGTACTTACCTTTTCCCAAATGTTTCAACTCGCTCTCAATTTCAGGTTTGGTTTCAAAGAAAACAGGGAAAGATCAAAGATGCTTTAATACAGAAATACTTTAATATGGAGCTTAAAACAAAAATAGTTCTTCTCATGTTATGAATATTCCCATCTGATGTTGAAATTTGAAGTTGTTTAAAAAAAATCTCTTCACTTCATGTAAAAAGCAGCATACAACAGTATTTCACAATTTCTCTGTTGGGCTTGTGGTGAGGCTAGTTTCATGCTGTTCTAGATTGAATGACGTTGGTTTTATTGAGATTGATAGCTGTACGTGTGTGTGCTTTTTCTCCTCTGGACAGGTGGATGCTGTCATGCCATTTGGGTGCCTTGCTCTGCGAGATGGGCGAACATACAACAGCCTGTCAGACATCACTGACAAATACGAGATCGGACAGGTCCTCAAGGCGTGAGTGTGCATAGATCTGCTATTATAGCCTTAAGAAAGCCAGTCTATAAGACATAGACACATGATCTCTTTAAACATTAATTGAGAATGCATTTCTTTCAGTACACTGGTGGGGTTGGTTATAAATAAAGCCGATTTACAACTGTACGGGGTATTCATTGCGGCATAAAATCCAGCAATTAGTATAATTTCTCTCTGCAGGAAAGAATTTTGTGAGCTGTGCCTGGTGAAGGAGCGACAGACGGACAAGGTTTATGTGTGCAAGAAATTCCTCAAGAAGGATGGCAGGAAAGTGCGGAAGGCAGCCAAGAACGAGATCATGATCTTGAAAATGTACGTGGTGACTCAAAACATCAACAGATGACGCAGGGTTTTGTGAGAGCTCTCATCTGAGAGGACAAAGAGAGAAATTCAAGAGATTGCACAAAAATCAAAATTAGGCCTGCTTGTAGTTTGATACTTAATAGTATGTCGATCAGATTTCCAAGATGGAAACCGGGGACATTTTCCAGTGGTCAAGACAGCATTAAAATCTTAATTATGTTTAAAAAAAATAAGACAATACATTTCATATATTTTTATTTTCAATTAATATCGGGGTTGTTTAAGAAAAATGGATATCTGAGCATCCTACTTAAAGGGATAGTTCACCTTAAAATTTAAATTTGCTATTAATTCACCCACCCTCACGTCAACCTGTATGATTTTTAGCTGAAGCTTAGGTGATTTAAATAGTGCAAGTCAATTATGTGCACAATGTGTTCACATGCACGTTTTTGCTTATTATGCTACATACGATATACTTGGATTTCTTTTGTCGGTTAAAGGTCAAAAATGGCTTAAACAAAGTCTGATTGGAACAGGTCATTTTTTTCAAAATGTATTTCACACTGCTTGTAATCACCTTTATCAGCATTCTAGCAGTTTAGTTCATGTGCGCATATCTAATTGGATTCCTTCCAATTGTCATCTTTGAATTC